TGGCAACGGGGCTGAGGGGAACAGGGCTGAGGGAACGGGGCTGAGGGGAATGGGGCTGAGGGGACGGGGCTGAGGGGAATGGGGCTGAGGGGAATGGAGCTGAGGGGAACTGGACTGTGGGGAACGGGGCTGTTCTCCCAGAGGGGGCTGTGGAGAATGGGGCTGCGGGGAACGGGGCTGCTCTACCGGAGGGGTTTGGCCTCAGGGATGCGGGATCGGGACTGTGGGAACGGGGCTGTATCCCAGCGAAGGGTGTGGGGACGGGACTGCGGGGATCGGGCTCTTGTCCCTGCGGGGATGCGGGATCGGGGCTGCGGGATCTGGGCTGTTATCCCGGCAAAGGGTGCGGGATCGGGACTGCGGGGATTGGGCTCTTGTCCCTGCGGGGGCTGCGGGACCGCGGCTGGGGGATCGGGGCCGCGGGGACCGGGCCCGCAGGGATCGGAGCTGTTGTCCCCGCGGGGCAGCGGGACCGGTGTCGCGCGGGCGGCGGCGGGGGGGCGGCCCGGGGCTCCGCCCGCGGCAGCGCATGCTCCCTGCGGCCCAACCTGCGCGTTTAAACGGCGGCGGCGGCGCGGGCGGCGGCGAGTCCTGGCTGTGTGCAGGTACGGCCGGGCACGGGCACGGGCACGGGCACGGGGCTGGACCGAGCCGAGCCGGGGGGATGCGCGGGCGGGGATGCCGCTGCCCCGGGATGCCGCTGGTCGTGCCGGGATGCGGCTCCCGCTGCCTTCCCCGGGGGGTTCCGGGCACACCGCGCGGCTTTCGGGGCTCTCTCCCCCCCTGCAGCAGCAGCCAGCACCGAGCGCTGCCCGCCGGGTCCGGCCGGGACAGCGGCGCTGCCCGGGGGAGGAAGAGGAGGAGGAGGCGCTCCGGGGCTGATGCTCCTGCGCTGGAGCTGCTGCGGGAAAACAAAAAAAAAAAGCGGAGCAGGAGCGCTGCAGGTGGGGCTGGAGGCTGCCCTGCCCTCCCCGAGCGCTCCCCAAACTCCTCATCCCTGCAGGTTCGCCCGCGCCGCTTCAGAGATTCCCGAGCGGGCAGAGTTTGGGCAGCGGGATGGACCCCCAGGAATGCTGAGGATTGCGGGGACAGGTCAGTGAATCCTGAGAATCCGAGCAAAGGGAGTTTTCTGTTTGGGTTTGGAGCCTCCCCTCCAGCTCAGCGGGCTCTGCTGCCTCAGGCCGTCCCTAAATGCCGCGATGGGGATAATTCCAGGGATTCCTGACTTCGGCAGGGCTCGTGGTAAAACGCTGGAGTTGTTTATGATAAACATAAACTACCCGACTCATTTGTCTTCCCACGGATGACAGCTTTAGGAGGAAAGGAGAAGCACTACAATAAATTTATTCATTTTATGCTGGTGATGGCCGGACCTGGCAAGATGCTCGATTTCCATTTTTATGTTACAAACATAGAATTGGAAGGGAAGCAGCTTTCCTGGCGCTCACCTGGACCTGTTAGACTCACAGAGAAAGTGGCCAGGCTCAAAATCCCATTTTTGCCCTGTTCTGGTTCTAGATGTGATTCAGGAGAGCAGCCTTTATGTGTGTAACATGAGAATATCTCCGAATTTATAGAAATAGAACATGAGTAAGAACTTCAAAAGTACCCAAATGACCTGGGCACTGAAGTCATGCAGACACTCCTGAAAAACATGTACCAGCCTTGAAACCTTTTCTATTATTCACCCCAGCTGCAATTTTCTTTCTTTTTTTTTTTTTTTTTTTTTGGTTTTTAAATATTTGATGCTGCCTGAACTTTCTGGCATCGTCCAGAGCTGCTTCCCCTGGTGGGGAGTGGCACTGGAGCCAGATTGCCAGCCCTGGGATTCCAGGCTGTGCCTAAAACTCTGGATTTTATTACCACAGAACATTGTGGAAGCCAGGAGTGCTTGGCTGATGGGATTTGGGAGTGAAAAAAAAAGGATTAGAAATTTGATATGGATAACAAGAATCTCCGGAATTAACAGAAAATTAAATAAGAGCTTTACAGAGGATATAAATCCCTGGATTTAGGGAGGAAATTCTCCTTGCTGTGGCTGCTTTGGGGATATTCCCCTACAAACAGGGACTTTGTGGTGACTTCTGTGGGTGCTGTGTCCTCTTCTCGAGGTCCCAGTGAACCCCAGGAGGCTGCTGGAGGGTGGTGGCTGTGCAGAACCAGCACCATCCCCTGGGAGCACTTGTGGATGCCTCCATGTGCTCCAGCAGCAAAAAGGAGCAAAATCCGTTTTTATCAGCAGATTTTTGGCCATTTCTGTGCTGGGAGAGGCTGGAATCACTGGGCTGATCCCTGAGTTAAAAAATTCAGCCCTGGGTCTACTTCATCTTCCCCAGAGTCCCTAGGAAATGATGTTTAGCATAAACTCTTGGTAACCTTTTCCCCAAACTGTTTATTTCGCTGGAGCACTCAAGTGGCAGTGCTGGGGAGGGGAGGAGGGGTGCTTTTGGTTTTTTCTCCCTGAGTTTCATCTCTTTTCTCTTCAGCCAAAGCCTCAGCACGGAGCTCAGGGTGATGGCTGGGCTCTTGTGCCTCTTGATGGCATTGGGAGTGCAGGCTCTTAAAAATAAAAATAAAAAATCACCTTAGTGCTGTGCTCAGGGTCTGTTTTCCTCCTGTGATTTACTCCCTTCAGAGGTTTGCAGTGCTTTTCCCACTCTGGGGATGGCTGAGCCTTCCAGAGTGTGGGAATCCTTAAAATCAGAGCTCTGAGTTCATGTTTACCCCCCAGGAGTGGCTGCTGGGGGCTGCTTTAGGTGCTCTTTAATGAGTTGTGTCTCCTCATCATGGCTGAGGCAACATCAAAGCAAAGCTTGGTTTGGTTGGGTGAAACCTGGGGAGGTTTTTGATGGATTTGAGGCTCTGAGGGAGCCAGGAGGGAAAGGAGCAGAGGGATGGGAGGTGGTGCTTGGGGTCAGCAGGGAATGAAGGTGTGAAGCCTTGTCAGGAGCAGGGGGAGCAGAAGGGATGGATACAGAACCCAAATTGGGCTGGATTTCCTCTGTTTGGGAATAATTCCATCCGCTGATGGTGCCCTGTGGCTCCTGGAGTGGGCAGCCAGCCTAGGACAGCTCCTGGTAGCTAAAACCCAGCCCAAACAGCTAAAACCCAGCCCAAACAGCCACCCTGGCAAGTCTTGTGACCCCTCAGCCGGGTTCAACCCGTGATTAAAGCTGAGTGTGGAGCAAGGGAGTCATGAGAAGCTCGTGAGCAGCTGTCAGCTCTTCTCAGTGCTGGTTTCTTGGTTCCTGATTGCTAAAGATCAGACATCCAGCCTGTCCATGTGAGAGCAGGGACCCCAGCTCAGCTGAGGAAGGGGATGGAGACCCTCAGGGAGGAATCCTGGCTTTTCAGAAGCAGAGGGAAGTTTTAAAACCATCCCTGCAAGGTAGTGAAACATGGATCTGCACAATCTTGCGCTCACCATAAAGAAAAGAACAGGAATATAGGAAAAACACAGGATTATTTAGCAGTTCTGTGCCCCAGTGTTTGGTTATCTCAGACTGATGATGTTAAACCTGTGCTGCTCCTTGTGCTGCTGTTGCTCCTCACTGCTGGAAGAGGCTGATCCTGTGTCCTGGAGCTGCAGAAGTTGCTGATGTGCCCAACCCACTGAGCTGTGGGGTTGCTTGTTCAGAAAACAAAGCTGAGAGTGGGACCCTGAGGCCACCATTTCATCCCTGTTTGTCCGTGTGGTGTTCCTTGGAGGTCCCCCCAGTTTGTGCCCTTCCTCCTTGTTTTCATATCCTAAAATGTCAGTTCCTCTCGCCGTTCCCAAATATTTGCTTAACATTTTGCCAGCCTGCAGAAGAGGAGAAACAGACCCCCGTGAATATTGTCTGGCAAAATAAGGAGGAATGTGGTCCCAAAGGCTCCTTTGTCTGGGGGCTGGAACACACACAGCAAGGAGCAGGTGCCTGATTTGCTGCTCTGAACCCTTTTTCCTCCTCTCTCTTGCTGCACATGAGCTAAAAGAAAATGCTCTTAGTCCACATCGCAAGGACTGGCCGTGTCCTTCACCCAGGGAAGCCTTGTGGGTTGTTGATCTGGGGATTTCAGAGCCAGCTTTTGGTGGCTTGCAGATGAATTCTCATCCTGGCCAGGGCTGGAATACTCAGGAGGTTTAAGGATGGCCTCTGGCAAAGTAATGAGGTTTATTTGAAAATGAAACAATGCCTGGCACTGGGGTTGGTTTGTGAGGTGTGAAAGCTTTTTCCCTTCAGTCAAAGGAGCTGTTTTGGGTTTGTTTTTTTTCCCCCACCTTTGTTTTGTTGGGAGCTGGAGTTCTCCGTGGTGGTTTGTCTGCAGGAGCTGGGACTTCAGGAAAAACAGAAATATAATGAGTGCAGTGACTCAAATCCGTGCAGGTTGTCAGCACTCAGAAGACATTAATGTTCTCACGGAGCAGGCTGGAGCCAGCTCCAGGAATAATGTGCACGGAGTTGTGGGCAGCACCGAAATCCTGCTTTAGATTTATGGCTTGAGACTTTGGGTGAAATGGGGCATGCAAGAAAATCCCTAGATCACACTTTCCTTGCCAAACATTAGGAGTGAATCCTGCTGGGATCTGACTTGCTGCAAGAAGAGGCTGAGGTGAGGCTCAGACCTCAGCTCTGATGCTGATTTGCATCCCAATTCCCTGTTCTTAATTTAGGATTAATGAGCAGGCTCTTGGGTGGGATTTGAAGTGGGTGTGACCAAACCCCTCCACTTCAGCTGGACCTTGTGAGTGATTTTACCCCTGATGGTGATTTTGTGCCTTTTCCATCGGTCTGGGAACGCTGGGCTGGGTCTGCCGCTGCTCCAGGGTGTTTTCCTGTCCTCCCCCTCTCCCAGGGCTGTGGGGTCACTGCAGCGTGGAGAGTTGATCCCCAAAGTGGTTTTTGGCCATCTCCAGAGCTGGGCTGACACGGCGTGGCCTGTCAGCCCTCCCTGTGAGCACTGCCTACCTCGCTCGGGGTTCTGGCACGAATTCCCAAACTCTGCCTTCGGAGCTGTGCAGAGAATGAAGGATTGTTGTGGTCACGGGGGAGCTCTTCCCTGGAGGTCAGCACGGCTCATGAACCCAGCGTGGAGCACAAAGGGACAAGGAGGGGACAGTGGCAGCGGGCTGCGGTGCCAGGTACCGGCTCGTGGCCGGACAGGGGAGGGCTTTGTGTGGCCACTGCTGCTGCCGGGCTGCTGAGGTGCCTTTGGGAATGTGGGTGACAAACAGCTCCTGTGCATTTGGGAACATTGGTGACAAACGATTCCTAGTGGGAATGTGGGTGACAAACAGCTCCTGTGCATTTGGGAACATTGGTGACAAACCATTCCTGTGCATTTGGGAATGTGGGTGACAGACAATTCCTGTTGGGAATGTGGGTGACAAACTGTTCCTGTGCGTTTGGGAACACTGGTCACAAACGATTCCTGTTGGGGATGTGAGTGACAAAATGATTCCTGTTGGGAATGTTGGTGACAAACGGTTCCTATGCATTTGGGAATGTGGGTGACGAACAGCTCCTGTTGGGAATGTTGGTGACAAATGATTCCTGTGTGTTTGGGAGTGTTGGTGACAAACCATTCCTGCTGGGAATGTGGGTAACAAACTGTTCCTGTACGTTTGGGAACATTGGTGACAAACGGTTCCTCTGTGTTCAGGAGTGTAGGTGACAAACAATTCCTCTTGGGAATGTGGGTGACAAACAGTTCCTGTTGGGAACACTGGTGGTAAACAATTCCTGTGCATTTGGGAATGTGGGTTGGTGACAATTCCTGTTGGGAATGCTGGTGACAAGCGGTCTCTGTGCCAGGGTGGTGGGAGCAGCTGGAGCGGCACAGGGACAAAAGGCTGCTGTGCCTGGCCAAGGCCCAGTGAGCAGCTCATGGGCCTGGAAGGGTGGCTTTTCACAGGATTGAGGAGCTGGGTGTGGAGAGGGGCTGGAGAGGCTCTGAGCGTGCAAATCCAAGGCAGAGCGCAGGAATGGCACGGGATAGCTGCAGGGAAGGAAGGACGGACACTTCCCAGCTATTAAATCTTTCCATGGATGTTGTCTCGGGGGAGATCCCTGCAGCCCCAGTGCTTGAGATGCCCCCATGCAGGCTGGAGG